AGAGAGGGGGAGGACGTAACCCTGGGTTGCACAGCAGTCAATGTAATTTATTAAGCACCTACTAGGCGTAGCTGATTTACGCCTCGTCATAACCCAAAGGTGGCGGTTACCATGCTGGGCGCGCTGACCGGGGGAACAGGGATGACGGTGGCTCCCTCCCAGACTGGGGAGGGATGAGTTAACCAGCATAGAGAGAGCACTGGGGGACAAGGGGGCCTCTCCCCAGGGACACCCTCTGGCTGCTCCGCCAAGTTCCTAGACAGCTCCGCAGCCCGGCTGGGCTGTGAAGAGTGACGGGCAGCCGGGGGCGGCAGCTGTAAGCGGAGCCGGTAATCAGACCTGGACGGGGCAGGGGCCCGGCCGCCCAGCCAGGTTACTCGATCTCCCCCGTGACGCCGGGCCCCAGAGCTGGAATCCTGGGGCGCCCGGGCTGGCAGGCGCTCCTCCTACGGAACTCTTTGCCGTGGTGGACGGAGACACAGGGGCCTCCGAGCCTCGCCCGGGGTCACAGAGTCCCCGCCATGGCGCAGAGAGGGCGAGCTTCTGGCCCAAGGTCACCCAGCAAGGGCATTTCACATACAGTGAACATGTGGAAGGCGCTGTGCTAGGGCCTCGTTTCACAGACGGGGAAATTGAGGCTCAGTGTCTCGTCTGGAAAAGGGGGAGAACCGCGCCCCGCCCCCCACCCGCCGGGACCTTCTCTCTGTTCCTTCAGTGGTTCCCGGCGCTCTGCGCCAGCCCGGACTCTCAGCCCTTCATCTAGAGCTGGGCTGTCCAAAACGGAGGCCGCCAGCCGCGTGTCGCAGTTGAAGCCTTTCCCATAGGGGCCACCAGGAAATTCAAAACTGCTCGTGTGCACGCATGGCTTCCTGTTGGACTGTGCTGGTCTAGGTGACATCCCCTCATCCTCGGAGCAACGTTTTAGGGTTGAATGTAGTCGCCCACAGTTAATAGATGGGGAAACTGAGGCCCAGACAGGGGAAGCGACCGACAGAGGTCTCCCGGCCGATAAGAGGCAGAGCACATGTGAGCACATGGATGCCACGATGTGCCATGGACATGTGGGGGTGGGAGGCCACCCGCCGGCGGACACCCATGCACGCCGTGGGGGTGACGAGCAAAGCTGAACCAGGAAGGAGGTCCGATCTGGGTTCAACTCCAGGTGCTGACACTTAGCTCATCAACACACGACAAGCCATTACGTTGCACTGATAATGTGCCAGACACTCTGGGGACATGTTGCTGGCCAAGACTCAGCCAGGCATGACCTCATGGGGCTCGCAGTCCATGGGCTGTTATGTGGGTGCTTATTTAATTTGGAGGATCCGCGCGTAAGCCAAGCTTCTCTGAATTGTGTGCACACAGGTCCCTGGGGATCTTGCTAAAATGCAGGCTCCGATTGGGGGGTCTGGGGTGTTGCACAGGACTCTGCATTCTCATATCTCCCAAGTGAGGCTGAAGGCTGCTGGTCTGGGACCACATTTGGAGAAGCAAAGGGTCTAAAACAGGGGTCCCCAACCCCTGGGCCGTCGCCCGGTACCGGCCCCGTGGCCTGTTGGGAACCGGGCCACACAGCAGGAGGTGAGCGGTGGGCAGGTGAGCGAAGCTTCATCTGCGTTTGCAGCCGCTGCCCAGCGCCAGCATCGCCGCCTCAGCTCTGCCTCAGGTCATCAGGCCTTAGATTCTCACAGGAGCACTGGTCCCTGGTGCCACAAAGGTTGGGCCTCTCTGGTCTAAAGGACCCTTTGAGAGTGTGACAACCGGTGGGGCAGAGGATACATGAGGAGGGGAGAGGCTGTGGGAGTCCAGGGCGATGGGAATGGGGGTCTCTCTGGGGAGGCAGCATTTTAGCAGAGACCTGAAATAAGGAGGGAGCCATGTGGGTATCTGAGAGAAGAGACTTTCAAGCTTCCGGGGGGAGCAGCTTGTGCAAAGGCCCTGGGGCACGACCATGCCTGGCGTGTTGGAGGAACAGTGTGTAGGTCCGTGTGGCTGGAGCAGCGTGAGCGAAGAAGAGAGAGGGAGGAGGGGAGGGCAGGGAAGGAACGGGCAGGTCATGCAGGGCCTTGTGGGCCATGGGAGGACTTGGGCTTCTACCCTGCAGGAGGTGGAAGCCCTGGAGAGCTGTGGGCAGAGCGGGACACAGCCCTAACACAGGTGCTCACAGGCGCCCTCTGGTGGCTGCTCCAGGGAGGACAGGCTAGGGGTAGCAAGGGCTGAAGCCAGGCCACCAGGTGGAGGGTCCACGTGGGAGATGATGGGACTGACCAGGGACCGGACTGGGAGGGCGTGAGAATTCTGGATAAATTCGAAGGCAGAGCCTGAGGACTTTTTGGCGTTGGACATGAGGCTGAGAGAATGAGGCCAGGGCGAGCGGGGGCTGTTGGAGGGAGTTGGGGGATGATTCCCAGGTGTGGCCTGGGCCCTCGGCTGAAACGGGCAGGACCGAGGCTGCCGTGGCTGTGGTGGCGGAACATCAGGGCCCGCCAGCAGCCCCACCTGCTCTGAGTGTCCAGCGCCTTCCCGTGAGACCCCACAGGGTTTACGGTTGACCTGTTGTTTGTTCTGGAATTTACTAGCTGGCCCTGACATTTATACGCAAGCCCCAGGTTCCAGGATTAGCTTGGACACTTTGACCTGAAGCAGTGCCGGGTGGGAGGAATGTTCCAGAAGGGAATTCCAGCCCGTGACAAGCTCACAGTAACTAAGGCGGCATAGCACCTGGGAAGCTGGCCTGAGAGCCTCGGGGTGACGGGAGGAGATGAAGTAGGGTGGCCCTGAGGGAATTTTCATCTCTGCCTCAGTTTCCCCACCTGTACAATGAGATCGCTCGCCAAGAGTTGGAGTGACAGTTGAGGGATCAAGCCGAGAGGCCCGGCCACAGCTTGAGCCCTCCTGGGTGGGGGCTGTCACTTTATCGCTTTATGACTGTCCCTCCCACCCCCATAGGCATGAATGCAAGTTCCAGGGCTGCAAGCAGAAAGCACGCCCCCTCCACAGGCACCCAGACGCGTGTGGGCATGGGTGCCCTCCACGCCATGGGGCGCACGCGCCGGCCACGAGGCTTCCCCGCTTGGTGGCAGTTCCCGGTGACCAGGTGCCGGGCCAGGTGGTGGGGCCGCTTCCGGGCAGGCGGGCGCCGGACGGCTGCTAGCTGAGGCGCCTCACATTTCATGGAGAGAAGCAGATGGTCTTACGGGGATGGGGGAGGTGCTGAGGCCTCTGGTAACTCCAGGTCAGGTGGGGTAAACTGAGGCCAGGCAGAGTGGGTTGGGCTCAAAGTGGCCCAGACTCCCCAAAAACAGCATGTGGGGTTCGGTTTCAGTTCTGTATGATCACCAAAGTAACTAGCATTAAAAGGCACCGGCCGCCACTTCACGCTCGTTAGGATGGCTACTTTCAAAAAACAGAAAACAAGTGATGCAGAGGATGTGGAGAAATTCGAATCCTGTGCCCTGCCGGTGGGAATGGAAAATGGGCCACCACTGTGGAAACCTGTATGTGTTTCCTAGAAAAATGAAACATAGAATTACCATATGATCCAGCAACTCCACCTCTGGGTCCAGGCCCGAAAGAGCTGGAAGCAGAATCTCAAAGAGATATTCGCAGCTCCTGCTCGCAGAGGCACGATTCACAGTAGCCAAGCGGCGGAAATGACCCAAGTGTCCATTTCCAGATGGTGGATAAACAAAATGTGGTCCATCCACAGCGTTAAAAAGGAGATGCTGACACACGCTACAACATGCATGGACCCTGAGGACACGATTATCAGTGAAAGGAACCAGACACAAAAGGACAAACACTGTGTGATTCCACTCACGTGAGGTCCCTAGGGGAGTCAGATTCACAGGGACAGAAAGTGGATGGTGGGAGCCAGGGGCTGGGGGAGGGGAGGAGTTAGTGGTTCATGGGGACAGAGTTCCAGTTTGGGTAGATGAGAGAAAGTTCTGGAGACGGATGGCGGGGACAGTGGCATAACATTGCCGATGGACTTGCCACTGAGCGGTGCGCTCGGAGGCCAGGGTTACCTGGGCTGGTGTTTGGGGGAGGAGGGTTGAAGGATGGGGGCCTCGGATGGCAGGCAGCAGCTGGGCCTGGATCCAGGGTCACTGAGAGCCACGGGAGGCTTCGGAGCAGGGGAGGAGCTGGGGAAGGAAACCCTTGAGGAAGCAGCGCTGTGTCTGTGCACACATGGGACCCGGGCGTCCTCTGAGTCACAAATCCTGGAAGTCCAGGGTCGTGGAGAGGAAGCCCTGCTGCTCTACGCAGGGCCTTCCTGTTTTTAGCCCTGAAGACGGGGAGGCAGGCACGCCAGGGCCAAAGTTCCCGAGTCACCTCCACCTCCAAGGGCTCGGAATTCCCGAGCCGTGGGGCCAGGGCAGGGCTTGGGGGCGCCCCTGCTGCCGAGACGGGGAAACTGAGGCATGGGGCTGGTCCGGGACGTCTCAGAAGGACAAGGGTTTTCTGCTCGGGGCCTCCGGACTGCACCCCTTCTGGAAGGGGTGTGGAGGCCTGGGTTCCAGAGGGTGAGTCCTATACATTACTCCCACCACCCAGATCATCACTTTGAGGATGGGGGGGAGTCCTCTGCTCCACGTGCCTGGAACTTTCTTTAAATTCTCTTGAATGGGAGTGGGAAACAGGCCCTCTGGGGAGGCAATGAGGCTCCTGGCACAGGGGTATTGGAGCAGAGGACAGAAAGGCTGGGCTGGGGAAGGAAGTCAGACTTACCTGGGCCTCCGAAGTCCCCGGCCAGCTGGAACATTCTGCGATTTTAAAGTACTGTAGTTCCCAGACTGTGGTTTATAAAATTCCATGAGCCTTTGAAAAATTCTTTTGAGCCTTTTATTTTAAGATTTTTACGTTTTAATTCTAAGAATTCTTAATCTATCTTTTGAGATTGAATTTTAAAAATATGATTTGACATATTGTACCTATTATCATTATTAGCTTTTAATTATTTAAAGTCATTTAATTTTCAATTTAAATATTCCGTTGTTAATTTTCTGTTAGAAACCGTTTCCTGAGCTTTCAGTGAAACGTGGTGGGCAAGTTGTCCCGGTGATTAAGTGAGTGCCGGTATTATTATTGTTAGTGCCGTGATGGCTGTTATTTTAAATGATCCCAACGGGGAATTTCTCTGGGAATCGAAGGTCCAGGCCGCGGCGGCTCGCGTGCCCCATCTGGCGGCGGATTCCGGGACTGCAGGCCACGCCGCTCACTGTCCCATCCCTCGCCCACAGGCGTCACCTCCCGTCACCCCGACCTCGCCATGCGGACCTCGCGAGTGCCCCCTACCCGCCCGGCCCTACTGCTCCTGTTGCTGCTACTGGGGGGCGCCCACGGACTCTTCCCCGAGGAGCCGCCGCCGCTCAGCGTGGCCCCCAGGGACTGTGAGTGGGGGTCCTGGGGGAGGGGGCGGACCGACAGAGGGTCTTGCTCCCTAGCCGAGCCTGCTGCTCCCCTCACTGGGCCAGGCTCACCCGGCCCTGGATCATTCCCCTCTCCACCCCCTTCCCCAGACCTGAACCACTATCCCGTGTTCGTGGGCAGCGGGCCAGGACGCCTGACGCCGGCAGAGGGCGCGGAGGACCTCCACATCCAGCGGGTCCTGCGGGTCAACAGGACGCTGTTCATTGGGGACAGGTATGGGGACTGTCGGGCAGAGTGTGGGACGCAGGTGGTGGTAGCCTTTGGGGGGTTTTGCACGATGGGGCCTGTCATTTGGCTGGAGTGTGGACGTGAATATGTGTCCCTGGGTGTGACTTTTAAGGGACTCTGGGTGCGCTTGGAGCCTAGAGTCTGCTGTGGTGTGTTAGCAGGTGGGGACAATCGTTTGGTCAAAATTTACTGGGCGCCTACATGGGGTGCTGAAGTGAGGCCCAGGACTTCTCTGAGGAGGTAACATTTGAGTCGAAACCTAAAGGATGAGGAGTCAGCCACGAGGAAATCTGGGGGAGAGAGCAAAATCCAGACCCTAACCCTAACCCTAACCCTAACCCTAACCCTAACCCTAACACAGCCTGTGCAAGGGTCCTGGGATGTCAGAGGAACAGCAGGGAGGCCTGAGCGACTGGAGCAGATGGAGTGAGGGGGAGAGAGGGAGGGAGGGAGGTCAGGGAGGGCACAAAAGCGGAGGGGAGGACTTTGGCCTTTACCCCAGAAAGGTGGGAGCCCTGGAGGGCTGTGGGTAGAGGAGGGAGGGAACCTTATTCAGGTGCTCACGGGCTCCCCCTGGTGTCTTGTTTGGGGAGGACAGACTTGTAGCTGGTCCAGGTGGGAGATGGTGGCGCCTGGAATAGGGTGGTGGCCATGGAGGGGGTGAGGAGTAGGTGAATTCTCAAAAGACATTAAAGGCAGAGCCCACCGTGTTGGCGGATGTGTCGGATGTGGGAGGCGGGCAGAAGAGGGGAGCTGAGGGTGATTCCCTGCGCCCCTGGAAGGAGAGCTGGAGGAAGGAGGAAGAACAAACTTGACGGGAGATGTTCAGGGGCAGCTGTACCCTGAGTCGGGAGCTCGGGGGAAGCCCCGGCTGGAGACAGGACTTAGAGTGGACGAGGCTGCCCAGGAAGGGTGTGAGTGGGGTAGGGAAGAGTCCAGATCGAGTCTGAGAGGTAGGAGGGAAGCCAGGCAAGTTTGGGGGTAAAAACCCTCGTAAGGCCCGAGTTCCCAGGAGGAGGAGGGACTCGCCCCATGTAGTCGGGAGGAGGGGGGCTGAGAGTGACTGCTGTACTTAACACCAAGGCGATCAGTGACCTTGACATGGGCGGTTTCCGTGGCATGAGGGGAGGGAGAGAGCCTGGGGGACATTGAGCGGTGTGAGTGGGGCGCCTGGGGTAAGGGCGCTGGATAGTTCATATCAGGCTCCCAAGCACCCCGCGTAAGCCTGAGGTGGCGCATTAAGGTACATGGGTGTGCTAGAGCCTGTGGGTCCTTTTTGGGCGTGAGGAGGCGTGTCAGGGCATATGCAAGCATGTGAGGGCTTGTTCAGTGTTGGAGCGGCTCCTGGCGGAGGTGTTGGCATGTCGCTGAGTGTCACCTGTGGGACAACATGTCTGCCACAGGAGGATGGAATGTGAGGGGTGGAGGCCCCCAGTCTCACTCACTACACCCCTCCCGCAGGGACAACCTGTACCGGGTAGAGCTGGAGCCCCCCACTTCCACGGAGCTTCGGTACCAGCGGGTGAGGAGGGGGTGAGGAGGGGGTGTAGGAGGGAGGGGGGACAGCGCTTGGGGCTCTCACCCGGGGCTGCCGACACTGTGCTGGGGAGCGAGGTGGATTCGGGCCCGCTCAGCGGGCGTTCCTAGGGTTACCCGCTCCCCTCACCAGCTCCCTGTACCCCCAGAAGCTGACCTGGCGCTCCAAACCCAGCGACATCAACGTGTGTCGGATGAAGGGCAAGCAGGAGGTGAGTGGACCCTGGTCACGCCCCAAATCAGCCACAACCACGCCCTCAAACACGCCCCAATTCGGCCTGGCCTCGCCCAGGGCAAATCCTCTTCAGACCTTCATCCCTGGCCGGGACCCTGGTATTGCCTTGGCTACGGCCAGAGCCTGGCCACGCCCCCAAATGGTCCTCAGTCATTGGCCCCGCCCATAGACTTGGCCTTGCTCTAGCTCCGCCCCTTCAAAGGCTGTGGATACAAAGTACGGATTTCCCTGTCTTGGCCCCTGTCTTGGCCCCTCCCTTAGCATGGCCACGCCCCCATCGCGGTCCTATTTTAGCTGTGAACACACCCACATCCTTGGGCCTTCAGCCTTGGCCACGCCCCGTCACGGCCACAGCCCTGGCCACGCCCACACAGCCCACGCCCACCTTGGCTTCTCTATTCCAGGGCGAGTGCCGAAACTTTGTAAAGGTGCTGCTACTTCGGGACGAATCCACGCTTTTCGTGTGCGGTTCCAACGCCTTCAACCCTGTCTGTGCCAACTACAGCGTGAGTCTCCGTCGCCCGAAGCCTGGCTGCCCCACGTCCACCCTCTGCGGCCCTCTGTCCCCGCCTCCCCAGCCAGAGCGCACACGGAGGCCCCCAAGGGGCCTGTGTGGGGTCAGGGAAACCATACTGCCACCTGTGACCCAGTCGTAGGACTAACCAGGGCCGACTTAGACTCGTTGACCGATTGGCGAACTGAGCCCAGAGAAGTTAAGGGACTCAAGCCACGTGGCATCCACGGCAGGGCCAGGCTTCCCTTTGGAGTGGGGACATGGGGGAGGTGGTGGCTGCCAGGCGTGGCCAGGAGCTCTGTCACTCAGGCCCTGTCCCCCTGCAGATGGACACACTGCAGCCCCTCGGGGACAACATCAGCGGCATGGCCCGCTGCCCGTATGACCCCAAACACGCCAATGTCGCGGTTTTCTCTGGTGAGTGTCCCCCAGCTCTGACCAGCTGATGGGGCCCCAGCCCCAAGCAAGGCGCGGCCTTTCCCACTCTTGGAGTCGGAGGTGGGTGGGAGGCCACCTGTCCAGCTGTGGAACGGGCAGAATCTCAGCCTAGCGTCCAGACTCAGCTGGGGTCGGGGTTCATTGGAAGTTGGGCCTGGGCTCAGGGCTTCGACGCGGCCGTGGAGCAGCCTAGAGACGGTGGCTCACTGAGGCTCGGGGCTCAGTCCTGGAAGATGAAGTATTGGCCTGTGCAGCCCCCGCCCCTGTGATCCAGCCTCTCACCTTCTTCTCCGTCACCCCCATCCAGAAGGAATGCTGTTCACAGCCACCGTTACGGACTTCCTAGCCATCGACGCTGTCATCTACCGCAGCCTCGGGGACCGGCCCACCCTGCGCACCGTGAAGCACGACTCGAAGTGGTTCAAAGGTGGGAAGGACCATCGGCGACCCTCCGCCAGAATAAGAGGCCCCGAGGAGACAGGCAGGGGACTCCCAGCTCATCTTTGGAAACCAGTGGTCTCAAAGCTAGAAGATTGAGGCTGCAGCTGAAGTAGAACTTGCTGGAAGTGCGTAGCTTAGGAGCCTGAGACGGAACTACGGGAGGGGTCTAGCAGGAACACAGCTCTTTAACCCAGGGGAGAGGAAAGTGATGACAAGCGTCGATGTCGCTGTTTGCGGGGGGTAGACACAGTGATTTTAGGGTCTGACACTCGCGCCTCCCCACCCCCCAAGTCCCAGAGCCTTGAGTCCGGTTTCTTCGGCCTGGGTAATCAGCCGATGCCCCTTCCCGCACCGTAAAAGCAGCCGCCCCGCCCCCCTCGCCGCGGGCTGATGTGTCTCAGCTGCAGAAACAGCCTTCGTCATGTCAGAGGCTGGGCTCTGACCCCTCCTCTCCCACAGAGCCCTACTTCGTGCACGCAGTGGAGTGGGGCAGCCACATCTACTTCTTCTTCCGGGAGATCGCGATGGAGTTTAACTACCTGGAGAAGGTAGGGCCCTGTTTCCACTCCCGGAGAGGCCCAGGCCGTGGGCCGTGGAGCCGAGAGGCGCCGTTCATCCACCCGCCCATTATCTCTTTCTTCATTATCTCCGTCATTATCCATCATTATCCCCTTCAGATTCATTAATTTATTCATCCATCTATATCCCCTAACCTGTCCATCCATTCATTTCTCCATCCCTCTACCTACCCATCCATTCCAGCAACCAGAAGTTAAGGGCACAGACTACCATTTACCACTAGTGTGACCCTGGGCCAGTCACTCCCCTTTCTCTGTGCCTCAGTCTCCCCGTTTGTACAGTGGGGTTATCAGTAGGCCCTCCTTTGTAGCACTTTGGGAAAAAATAAGAGATGATGAAAATAAGGTGCTGGGTCCACAGCGAACCATCTGTGAGTGGAAGCAGTTATGGTTACGGCTGTCACAGCTGCTGTGATCCTTACTGTCACCCCCTCACCCCCCGTTGCCACTGGGGAATCCGGTGCCCAGAGGGGTACAGCGACCAGCCAGGCTCCTCCGTCCTGGCCTGGGTAGTGGGTGGCGCGGCCTGCGGGCAGGCCTTCGGGGACACAGGGCTCAGGCCCCGTCTGTCCACTGTCACACCAGGCGGTGGTGTCCCGCGTGGCCCGGGTGTGCAAGAATGACGTGGGGGGCTCCCCTCGTGTGCTGGAGAAGCAGTGGACGTCCTTCCTGAAGGCTCGGCTCAACTGCTCTGTGCCCGGGGACTCCCACTTTTACTTCAACGTGCTGCAGGCCGTCACGGGCGTGGTCAGCCTGGGGGGCCGGCCTGTGGTCCTTGCTGTTTTCTCCACTCCCAGCAACAGGTGAGTGGGTGCTCATGGGAGCAAACTGGGGAGGCCCCACATTCCCCGGGTCCTGGCCGAGGCAAGATCGGACCCCCAAGAGGCCGTGGAACAAAGCCAGACACGGCCCTCCAAGGCCCTTTGGTCAGAACTGGTCAGATGGGGGACATCGGCATCCAATGCCTTTGGAGGAGGGGGTCAGGGAGAGCTGCCTAGGGGAGGGGACGGTGGAGCTAGGCTTCGGTAGGGGTGAGGTGCAGAGGGAGAGCATTCCACGTGGGAGGGAGAGCGTGTGCAAGGCCGACAGGCTGCAGTGAGCTCGGTGTGTTTAAATGACCGGAGGACACCCGTGTGGCTGAGGTGGAGGGAGCAAAGCGGGGTGTGGATGGGCTGCAGGGAGGAGCCCAGGTTTTACCCCGAGAGCACTAGGGAGCCATGGGGGAGCGAGGAGCAGGAGAGGGACAAGGTCAGGTGGGCGTTTTCCGAAAGCCCCTTGGGGAATGGGTTGTGAGGGGGCCAGGATGGCATCTGGGATACTGGACATCCGGGTGAGCGACAATGTGGGCCTGGACATGGGCGGCCATGGAGGAGCTGAAATGTGGTCCGGTCTGAGCACTCCAAGGGACGGAGCGGCTGGGCGGGGCAGGTGGGCGGCGTCTCTGGCCCAGGGGACCAAGCGTCTGATAGCTCTGGAAGACAAGGGTCCTCCGCACACGGGCAGGGGTGGGGCCTCCCGCCAGGCTCATCTCACCCTGTCACCTAACCTCCCCAGCATCCCCGGCTCGGCCGTCTGCGCCTTCGACATGACCCAGGTGGCTGCGGTGTTCGAAGGCCGCTTCCGCGAGCAAAAGTCGCCTGAGTCCATCTGGACACCCGTGCCAGAGGATCAGGTGCCGAGGCCCCGGTGAGAGCCCCCTCCATCCTGAGACAGGTGTCTGGGTGGGGTCCTGTCCCCACAACCAAGGGCCGGACTCCCAGGCGGTTATCTAGCCGTTGCAGAGTTCGACTGTACCCACTGCACGGATGGGGAGCGCTGCAGCCCTTGGGGCAGGGCGGAGGGTCCCCTGGAGAACCAGAGCCCCTATAAGGGGTCCCCCACATCTGCCCTGACCACCCCACATTCCCCGCCCAGGCCCGGGTGCTGTGCCGCTCCCGGCATGCAGTACAACACCTCCAGCGCCTTCCCCGACGAGATCCTCAACTTCGTCAAGACCCACCCCCTGATGGAGGAGGCGGTGCCCTCGCTGGGCCACGCGCCCTGGATAGTGCGGACTCTGACACGGTCAGTCCCCACGCGTGGCTGGGGACCTGGCGGGGCAGAGGGTGGGGAGCAGTCTCTCTGAGACAGTGTACGGCTCTGGGGGCTGCCCAGAGACAGAGAGAGACACACACACAGACAGAAATTCGGGGAGAGAGAGGCCCAGGTGGGAGCCTGGATTGGGGGTCTGCTTTGGGGAGTGTGATGTCCACGCGTGGGTGGTGCCCAGTGTGGGTGGTGTCTGCATCTGCCTGGTGTGGGGGGACCGCAGGGGCCATCGGGCCGGGATGACCCCTCCTGCCCCGGCCCCAGGCACCAGCTGACACGGGTGGCCGTGGACGTGGGCGCCGGCCCCTGGGGCAACCAGACCGTTGTCTTCCTGGGCTCGGAGGCGGGCACTGTCCTCAAGTTCCTCGTCTGGCCCAACGCCAGCACCTTGGGCACCACCGGACCCAGTGTCTTCCTGGAGGAATTTGAGACCTACCGGCCAGACAGGTAAGTCAAGGCAGAGGCCAGGAGGAGGGGCTAGTGGGCAAGAAGACGGGGCACAACCCTGGACTCTTACTGATCTGCTCACCCCCAGGTGTGGACAGTCAGGTGGCAGTGAGACGGGGCAGCGGCTGCTGAGCCTGGAGCTGGACGCGGCCTCAGGAGGCCTGCTGGTGGCCTTCCCCCACTGCGTGGTCCGCGTGCCCGTGGCCCGCTGCCAGCAGTACTCAGGGTGCATGAAGTGAGTGTCCCCTGGGCCCCCTGCGGGGAGGGTGAGGGGAATTGCGGGGAGACGAGCATGAGAAGGGGGAAAAGCGGTCAAGGGCCCAACAGCATCCTGACCTGTTGAACGATGAGCCGGGGAGGGAGCACAGCGTGTGCAAAGGCCTTGGGACAGAGAGGAACAGAGAGGGGCCCGCATGCTGCAGAGGAGAGAGTCAGGGAGGAGGCCCGGTCAGGGAGGGGACAGGGCAGGCCCTGCAGGGATTTGTGGGCTGCGGGAGGACTTGGGCTTCTACCCCGAGGGAGGTGGGAATCCTGAAGGGCTGTGGGCGGAGGAGGGGCAGGATCCCAGTGACATTCCTAAGAGCAGCAGGAGCAGAAGCTGGGGGCCAGGGAGGTGGCTGTTCCCCTTTGTCTAAAATGGGTGGAAAGATTGGATGCAAAGTCCTGGCGCCCCCTGGACTTTGTGGGAGCCCTCCCCACGGAGGACGCCTGCCCCGGGCCCACTGAGATGGCAGTTGTGACCACACTGTACAGGGCCGAGGTGCAGATGGGGCCAAGCCTGCTGGGCTCCAACCCCAGCTCTGCTGCTTGTGCAAAAGTGAACTTTCCTGAGCCTCAGTTTTCCCACCTGTCAAATGGAGAGTGGTCAGCCCCAGCCGCAGCCATCTGCGGCCAGGTAGGAGGCACTGCGTGAGGGGCTGTGGCTGACGGGCCTGCGGGTCCCTTGTATGCTCTAGGCACTGCATTGGCAGTCAAGACCCCTACTGCGGGTGGGCCCCCGATGGCTCCTGTGTCTTCCTCAGCCCAGGCACCAGGTATGGGGGGGCGGGGAGGAGGGAGGCTGGGAGGGGGCGTATGACCTGCCTGATGAGCGGGGCTCCCTCTCCCCCCACACCTGGGCTCCGTGAGGAGTTTTTGCTGACGGTGTCTGTCGTCCCCTCCGCTAGGGCCACCTTTGAGCAGGACGTATCCGGGACCAGCACCTCAGGCTTAGGGGACTGCACGGGTAAGTGGGAGAAGGGGAGGAGGCCTGGGGACCCTCGGTCCTGGTCCCCAGGGTTCTCGTGCCCTCTGCTGCCCATGTCCGGAGAGGCGGGGAGACCGGCTCCCGTCAGGGCCTTGGGAGGGCGGTGGGGATGCCACTTTCGGGGAGATGAAGGACAGAGAGAGAGCCAAGAGGCAGACAGATGGACGAACTGCAGGATAGACAGACGCCAGGGGACAGACAGATGTATGGACAGGATTTGAAAGGGACAAACACATGCTGGTACAGCTGCCAAGAGACAGCTGGACAGACTTTGACAGAATAGACAGACCCCAGAGGAGCAGAGAAACAGAGACAGACAGACAGACAGGCTTCGGAAGGAACAAAGATGTCACAGGCAGACAGACAGACTTGGAGTGGACAGATGGACGGGCGGACAAGCCCAAGATGGCGGGAGGTATGGACAGGATTGTGCCTTAGCCAGCCCTTTTCATGTGGTCCTCCTGGCTAGGACTCCTTCGGGCCAGCCTCTCAGAAGAGCGGGCCGGGCTGGTGTCCGTGAACCTGCTGGTGACATCGTCAGTGGCGGCCTTCGTGGTGGGCGCCGTGGTGTCCGGCTTCAGCGTGGGCTGGTACGTGGGCCTCCGGGAGCGCCGTGAGCTGGCCCGACGCAAGGACAAGGAAGCCATCCTGGCCCACGGGGGCGGGGAGGCGGTGCTGAGCGTGAGCCGGCTGGGAGAGCGCCGGG